CGCGTCGATAACGATATTCGCATCCGGTTCCGCCGCCGGTTCCCCCGTCAAAGGAAGTAGGTTACACATCTGCGGGGGTAAGCATCGACAAGAATACACCACCGTGCGCCGACTGTGCGCGATCATAAACTACGCTCAACCGTGGAAACCTGCTTGCCTTGCTGTAATAATAACTTAGGGCGTGAATTACGGGAGCCGGTCGTGGATCTTGGCGCGATCAACCGCAAAGTGGATTTCTTCCTCGTTAATCTCGGCAGGAAAAATTTCCTGGAGGAGGAGGAGGAGGAGGATCACGCGATAGGAGATACAGGAAATTGTTGTCCTTCCTTTCGTGGAACGAGGATAACGTTGTTGTCGTTGTTCCTCCATTTCTTTCTTCCTTTTCTTTCCCTCCTCCGCGCTTTCAACCTCCTATTGCGTTCCTCGTGTAAGTTTTCTCTTCTCGCCGGCCAACGAGATTTAAAGCGGCACGTTTAATTTCCAATGGGACAAAAAGGTACACGTTAGGAAGAGGATATTGGATTAAGCTTCTACCTTAAGATTCTACTTTCGCCACGTATCTCGCGTGATCGTTGGTGGAGGTATACGTAAAAATTGGTCGACATTGATTTCGAAGCGTCGAACTTGAAATGTTGGGAATTCTGCAGCGTTTGGAGGAGGAGGAGGAACGCGAAAAAGTGCAGCCTCGGCGCGATTAAGAAATTTTTAGAGAGGAAGGAAATTTTTCGATAGGATTTTTTTTAAGTTTCGAAAGGAAAGGAGAATTTAGATTTTTAGAACGTTATATTTGGAATATCGGGAAAGGAGGGATGCGGTTAATCCTCGATCTTTCTCGCATTTTTGAGAAAAATTTATTTCTCCTTTTCAAACGAGCGTGACAACTCTAGGGATCGTTCCGTTAAAACCATTTATCCCTTCCTTTTACGAGCTCTTTTCCTCGGGATAAGTATCGTACAACTTTCTCTCAAAGTTGCCCAAAGTTCTGAACTCTCTCTTTTCTTTCATCTTTCTTTCGTTCTTCGATAGCTTCTTATCGATATTACAAGTCGCGTTATTAATATTCCAAGCTTCCCACTATTACGCTTTTGCGGTTATCTTATTCGCGAAATTCACCAGAAGTCTATCCAAGTTTTCGCCATTTTATTCACCTTCTGCCAACAAACTTTCCGATATTCGTTGCGTGCACAGTTCGATCCATTAATTTAACTTTTTCGCATTCGTCGCGGATCAGAAGAAGATTTCACGACGCGACCTCGGTTTTTCATTATTCTTTTTCAAAATCGTTCCAAAAACCTCGACGAAACGATTTCTCGAAATGACACTCGAGTATCGAACGATCGCAATGCATGGAACGCAGACGTATCACGCGATCTATGCCTCCTCTCTTCTTCCTTCGATCATAAATCAATCTTGCAATTTTTTAATCTAAAAACTTAAAAGCAGTTCTCGTTCTCTCTCTCGAGAAATCTCGCCAAGCTTTGTTACAATTGAAATTTTATATTTTTATATTTTGAATCCACGTTATGAAACATGTTTCGTACCATCCGATAAACCACCGTAGCTGTAGATCAGACACGCTGCTTCCTGCTAATTAAATTTCAATTATACCGAATCTATGCTGCGTTCTGGAATTATCGACATACACGCGTATTTATTTATGAACGTTTAGCTCGAAACGATTCGTGCAAACAAGATTTCGATCGGTCCGCTCTCGCAAATATCGGGCAAGTTGCAGCGAAATAAATTCCCGGCCCCCTCGTATCGCTCCTCGTAAATCTCCGAAAAGAGGGGGGATCAAATTTTCACGCCTCACGGGTTTAACGACGGCCGGAATCGCGAACGAACGCCGTTAAAATATTCAAAATATTCTCTCTCTCTCTCTTTCCAACTTTTACCCGCAGGAAAAGCGAGAATATTGTTTTATTTCGTATCGGCACCGCGATGATCGATCGGGCGTTCCACCAGTGTTTTTACCCGCTCTCGATTATTATAAATTCAACGACGCGTCTCGAATTCGCGTTTCGACGTTCCTCCGAAATTGATCGACCGCTCGTTGCAGATTACGTGGGAGAAAAAGGGTTAAAAGGAGGAAGAAGGATAATTAAGGACAGGTTAAACGTTTGACGGCAAATGGTACGGTGAAACGTAAATTTTGTTTCGGATTAATCGAAACGAGGCGAGCCGCGAGGTGGTGGGGACGGGCGGTTTTGTCGTTTTAACTGTACGCGAGATCCGTAGATTTACAAAATTCATATCTCCAACGATGCCCGAGATTCTATTTGCGCTCCCACCGAAATAGAAATTAAACTTCGTTACGTGAAATTTCATTCGTTTTAATCCAAGACCCTCTATTAAATTTATATTAATTATCCGCTTCGAACGTGTTTATCAAAATTCACGTGTATGATCCGTGTATCGAGAATTGTCTGATTTCGACCACTCTTCGTAATTATTGCTCGTTTCCATCCTTTCCTTTAACACGTTGACTGTCGCGCGTGTTTCTTCAGGCGCTGTATCAAGTGTACTTCATAAATTCTACCAATATTTTAGTAATGCGAGTCGCAAGAATGATGTCTCGCATTATATTTGTTTCCATCGTTACTATTCGTGTCTGCAATAGAAGTATTGATAATAGTAATTGTATTGACAATAGTATTGAAGTAGTATGATTTAATATATTTTGGATATTTTAATTTGGATAATATGAATGCCCTTCGACTAGTAATAAATATACTTCTTAGTTGTGAATTGTATATAAATTATTCGTGTGGCTTGTCTATTAGATATCAGAGTTTCTCACAATGTCATAGCAAGTAATCGATGGTCAGAGCACGATACGTTCATAAATCTATTATCGTATCACCATGAGATACGCAAAAATTAGAAGATTTAGAGAATTATTAGCTAAAATTATTAGGATTATCCGAAAACAAAACCTCGTCAAAACTTTCAACGGAATGAACATAATATCGCCGTTTGGAAAAATAATTCTGATATAAGCATTAGACTGTATGCAAATTATGTTATTCGGATAAAAGGAAGGAATTTAAAAAAGACAACAATTTTTTATCCAAATTGATCAACCTCAGCTTTGTATAGAATGTTTTAAAATTTTACATTCAAAATAATTTTTTTATTATTTTTATAACAACCTAATAGTTTTATTACAGAATATCTTTCCAAATGCCTACAAAGATCGTTCATAAATAGTCAACGTGTTAAGAGCGTAACGATAAGAAAGATTCGGTTGTAAACGAAACGAAAATTTTCTTCACTCGATGCAGTTTCTCCAGAGGAAGGCACGGATTCAACTTAATCACGACTCGTATCGATGTTGGTTTTATGGAAACGACCGATATGGCACGATATGGGGCGGCTAGGTTCAAACTTGCCCATTAGCGGCTACTACTCGGCAACCGTGTTTCAAATCGTAACGACGGGATCTTGGAGCGCACTCTGTCCGTAGGAAACGGTCGTTCAGCTTAACACGCTTCCGGCGACGAGATCATCGCGGATACGGATTCGCCCAACTTACCCTATCGAGCCCAACTTCTCCCTATTCATCTCGATCGTCGATTCGTCGGATCGCGCGAAACGTTTCCTTCCTTTCCCGACTTATCGCTGTTCCCTCTGTATATTTGGAAGCTCTATTCGATTTTGAGCCGCTTCTTTTCTCCAAGTCCGTCTCGCTAACAGATTCAATTAAGATATCCCTTCGCCAACGCTCGAACGAGAAATCCTCCCGTTGTCGCGAGCCGAAAGCTGCGAACGAAACCGAGCAAAATTGCTCCGAGAATACGGCTTATTCTCTCTTTACGACTCGCCCGCGAATCTAATAAGATCGATCGAGGAATCAAGCTCGTTTTCGATTTTATATTATCGAAAGGAATCTTTCCACCTGCCCGCCCACCGAATAACGCTGAGTTTTCCTCGAAGACGGGGTGGACAGAGGTGAGCTGAAGCGAGAAAAAAAATTTGTGTTCGCAGAGAGGGTGGCATGGTACGAGGGTGCGAC